GACCCACAGCGGGGGGGGAGGATGAGGAGGATGATAATGAGGAGGAGGATAAAGAGGAGGATAATGAGGAGGATAATGAGGAGGATGAGGATAATTAGGAGGAGGAAAAAACGAGGAGGAGAAGGAAAACCGACGAGAGAGAAAGGAAGATAATGAAGGAGGGGGAGGAGAAAAAGGAGCAGCAGGAGGAGGACAAACGATGATGACGAGAAACGATGAGGAGGAAAAACGACGAGGAGAACAAACGAGGAAGATGAAAAGGGAGGAGGATGAAAGGGAGGAGGAGGAGGAGGAGGAGGAGGAAAAACGAGGAGGGGGAGGACAAACTTGGAGGAGGAGGAAAAAAACGAGGAGGAGGAGGAAAACCGAGGAGGAGAAAGACAGATAATGGATGAGGGGGAGGAGAAAAAGGAGCAGGAGAAGGACAAACGAGGAGGAGGAAAAAAGTAGGAGGGCGTTGAACGAGGAGGAGGAAAAACGAGGAGGAGGTGGAGGAGGAGAAGCGAGGAGGATGACGAGGAAAACTGAGGATGCAGTGCAGCGAGGAGGACGAGGAAAAACGAGGTGGAGGAGGAAAAACGAGGAGGAGGAGGAGAAACGAGGAGGTGGAGGAGGAGAAAGAATGAGAAAGGAGGAGGAGAAAGAAGGAGAAAGGAGGAGGAGAAAGAAGAAGTAAGGAGAAGGAGAAAGGAAGAAAATGGAGGAGGGGGAGGAGAAAAAGGTGCAGGAGGATGAAAAACGAGGAGGAGGAAAAAAGCGAGGATGGTGAAAAAGGAGGAGGAGGAGGAGGAGGAGGAGGAGGAGGAGGAAAAAGGAGGAGGAGGAGAAAGAAGGAGAAACGAAGAGGAGGAGGAGGAGAACAAGGAGGATGAGGACAAACGAGGAGGAGGAGGAGAAACGAAGAGGTGGAGGAGGAGTAAGAAGGAGAAATGAGGAGGAAAAAGGAGGACAATGGAGGAGGGGAAGGAGAAAAGGGGGAGGAGGAGGTGGAGGAGGAAGAGGAGGAGAAAAGTGAATAAAGGAGACGTAKGGAGGGGAGAGGAGGAGGAGGATAATGTGGTATGATCAGATCTGATCATATCTAATCAGATCTGACCATATCTGATCATATGTGATGTAATGACCCGGCATAACACAGACTGAGAACACTGCTGATTTCCGAAGTTCTGCTGATGGAATGGATGCCTTGTTGAGATTTTCACATTCTGCTGTGTTTGCCAAGTCTGTATGTGTGTGTGTGTGTGCGTATGTCTGTGGACTTGCGTGTCGTCTGCGTGCTTGTCTGCCTGAGTGTGTGTGTGACCCGGACAGGTACTTGTTCATTTGGTAGGCCCGTCGGGCCGGTACTTACCTGTGGACGTGGCATTGAGGGTTGCAGCAAGGGGAGCACCCAAGTGGCGAAGCTAGCGGCCCCCAGGCCCTTGGAATATCGGAAAAACACTCAAGTGGTCCGGTAGGCCGATACTGCACCGTTGAGGGGTACTGGAGGCCGAGCAGAAAAGACAAAGTTGGCATTTTTGGAGTCCAGTAGCGGTAGGGTAGGTCTACGGCGGTGCCAGTCTGAGTCTAGAGCCTGTACGGGCAATATCAGAGTCTGCAATGATGTTTCCCTCCGAAACGGAGAAAGTACCGGTTGCTGTGTGCTGGGCAGCGCCATAGCTGTTTTGAGTTGTCCTTTGCACGTCCCGGTCGCCAGGCAGCTCCATAGCTGCTCACTGTGTCCTTTGGCATCAAGACTGGGACCTAGTAGTCCGCCATAGCGTAGGCGCTTAAGAGGTGGAAGAAGTCGGGTTGCCATGGCTATGGTGGACCCATGTTCATGTCAGCAGTAAGGACGAACTTCGGCTATTGGTTCTGGGTCATTCATTCAGTATTGTTATTATTAATTGAAAAAGAGACAAGATTGCTAAAAAGAGGGAGGAGGAGGAAGGTGGAGAGA